TGCTTATTTGTTGTTTCAGCTGGTAAAGGTAATAATTTATTAATGCAATTTCTAGAAATTTGTTGTTTTGAGTCTATTGGGATAAAGTAGCTATTGTAGTTGTTTTAATGGTTGGAAAGCCCTAATTTTTTATCCTAGAAGTGTTGTAGTTCTCATTTTTTTTTTTTTGTAATGTCAGCAGACTATTTTTGTAAATACTAAAACTATGGATTTATGCAGACTTGATTCTTGCTTAGAGCATTTGAGCTTCCCAATTTTTAATTTTGTGCTTCTGCTATAATTGCCAAATATTACATTTTTGAAGTTTCAATTTGTCACATTCATGGTTCCTTTTGCTATTCTAATCTTAGTTTTGGGTTTTCCAAGATTTCATTTCCAAGTTTTGGGTTCAATTTCTCACATTCAAGGTTTTGCCTTTTCATGTAATTTTTTGTGATATTCAGTTGCTGTAGCTGGTACACCCACCTCTTAAATTTTAAGGTCCTTTCTAATTTTTGAATGCTAACAATGTAGTTAGTCACAACAGATCAAGTACATCTATGCGTTTGTAACATTTCTTTAGTGAGGTGGATATATTTGATTTGGATTTATTTGACTTGAATATTTGTTCAACTGCTCTACTGAAGGTGGGTTGCCGGCATCGAGTCTGAGGCTTCATCGGACATAATCAGTTGAGACATTATAAATTGAAATATAATTTATGTTCGTTGTATTTTTCTATATGTTTTCTATTAAAATATTGTGAGGAGTTAATTTATGTTCTATTTTTTCCTTGCAGTTTGGATTGCGGAAAACATTATCGATTAAAAAATGTTTGCTTCTAAATTTGGATGTCACAGTGGTAATGCCTTGTTGAGTTGGTGTTTCGATTGCAACTTCCATGGTAACTTAAATAAGTAGTCTATTTTCATATTTGGGGCTTCCATAGTTGCGGTTATTGATTATAAACACTTGGCTTATGCATTCCATGAAATTCTAAAGAATTTTGTGTTTGTTGATTATGTACATTTTGATTTTGACCAACTTCCTACATTAAGTAAGGTCACTTCCACAGCATAGGTGTTAGAAACTATTGTTGCATAGAACATTAATTGGGGGTGCTATAGCTGACATATATTGTCAACTAAATATCACATTCGTTATTAGCACATAACCAAAACTAGATAATGCCTCATGCATATAGGTCGTAGTAGTATATATGAGGAAGAAAATCAACTTTGATTGATAACAGTATTGTAATTTATTTAAAATTTTATCAGCTGAATCCTTCAGTATTTGTTCTACTAGAACTTAATCGACAGGAGTTTGTATTCTTGATTTGCCTTCCTGATACATAGGTGTGATTTCTTTCCATTGGGTTTCTATGGGGTTTTTTGTTTTTCTTTTTTTGGTATACATAGAAGTGTTTAACCCACTTTTGAGGGGAAATGGAATGGAAACTATCAAAAATTATGTGAGAACCAAATCCAACTGTTGGGCTTAATACATGTCAATAATTTTCTTATCGTACAAACCATATTTCTAACAACATGTACACTAACCTTTTTTATTTGTTCGAACTTATCCTTTGAAAGTATTAAGCTACTTGGAGTTTGAACCTGTAGCTTATAATAAATTCTGATTTAGCTTTCTCTATTGGGTGCTTAAGTGGGTTGGTTGGGTAGGTGAGATGGGTGCAAGGTATGGGTGAAAGCATGCCTGAATCCATCAGAAGATCCTCCTCCTCTTTGGATTCGTCGTGATCAGCCATTATACTTTTCTACCTATAGGAGCTCTCCAAGCACAGGTTTGAAAGTCTAGAATTACCACTACCATGTCATTGAATTGGTTTTCTTCAGCAATAACAGTTTCATTTCCAGCTTAATTTCGACCTTTGATTGTAGTTGCTCAATTCTTGGTACATAGCTCCTAACATATCGGAGTCTCTCCCAACATGTGGATTTATGTCATGGATGTCATTATATTTTTCATATATGGCTATTCATTTAGTGATTGCATCAAGTGCAACATTTTGGTAAATGTTTGAATTATAATATTGCAGTAGTTGATAAGTAGTTGTATTAAAGCAGGACTGTGGTGCAATGGTGTGTCAATCATTGGTTTCAGGCAAATTTTTTAAAAATATTTTGCATCAATTACTAAATTTTATTATGTAAATGATGTACACCGAATGATATTATTCAATGGTTATGTTTTTAGAGGAATTTTATCGATTAGTTTTTTAAACAATGGTGGGTCAACATTGATTGACGATCTTTCTCAATTTTTTTAATTTGTGAATTTTTTTTTTTGTTATATAGTGCCTTCAGGCATGAGCAATTATTTGTTGTTCTATTGAGTACAAAGATGAAGAGGCATAGTGGCTTGATTTTTGAGGTCTGGAATGAGTAAATATATTAACTTATTCTTATTAGTTTAAGTTTAGTGTTAATTCAGTTTATATTTGTATGATAAATAGTGTTAATAGCACTATTAATGTGATGTGATAAGATTATTGATTTAAGTCATGTATATTTATATAAAGATTTGATTCTATAAGTTGTACACACAGGTCGATATTATTTAGGGATAATATTTTCAAAACAAAATTTTAAGAAAATAATAGTTGACACATACCAACTATTGAAATTTTGTTTGTTATAACAGTTATTTGGATCTGAGTGTGTTATAGGTGGAGAATATAGGTGATGTAGAATTATGATATACACCAAGTTGGATGCGGCCTGGGCTATTGTTTTTGTTGTTGTTACATAGTGGCTTCAGGCACGAGCAATTTCTAGTAATATTATAACTGAGATTTTATGTAGTATGTATTGACATGAAATGACTAATTGACTATCTTTATATTACTTTTATATATTTTTGAGTTTGATCTATTTTTATGTAGTGTTTCTTCATACAATACTTTTAATGTTTCACAATTAAAATCAATTGGATGGTTAATTATCTCTCACCCAATATTCATAAATGCAAAAAAATTTGCTTAAACTTCTGGTCAGTTGCAAACAACCTCCTCCTACTTTGAATTTCTGTACTAAACCTCCCTCAATTTTTGATCAAAGTGCAAAACGAAACTTCCGTCGCAAAAGCTATAAAAATACCAAAATACCCTCATTATTCCATCCAATTTTGGTTGCAATATCCTCCCTTTAGCTCAGACTCTCTCCCTCTCTCCCTCTCCCTTTTCGTCTTTCATCTGTCACCACAATCATCCTCCTCTTTGTCCTCTCCTTTCTCTACATTTGTATGTAAATGAAGGAGGAAAATTAGAGATCTCAATTAGAAAGCTTTAGTCAACACGGTTTCTATTTTTCAACATGGGCCCTCTCTTTTGGAAAACAAAATACACAGAGATTGACCAAAGAATTGATTACAAATGCTGAGAAATATTGACAAGTTTGGGAAAATTTGGAGAAAAGCTATTGCATATTCAACCAAAAAGGATTTGAAAATAACCAAAAAAAAAGCACCGATTGTGTGGAGGATGGAGATCGGGGAAGCGAGAGGGCCTAAGTTGTGTGACCGAAAATTCTTTCCTCTCTCCCTCTTAGCTCTCTCAGACAGAGTCCTTAGGGCTTTTTGAGCATTGATTTGATCTATTATGAAAGAAAATGAGAAGATTTGCGATGGAATTGATGAGGGTTTGGTGGTGGGGGGTGTCCGCTAAAAAAAAATTGTCTCTTTCTCTCTAGTTCAACGCGGTAATGTTAATAATTGATCTGGAGAGTACTAAGACACATAAATGGTGACATCATAGAATGATATGAGACGATGCATACAAAATGATAAATAAAAAAAGGTTTAAACACTACAAGAAATTCAGATTATATCACAACGTAGCATAATCTGATAGGTCGATACACTTTTGGTCTATGACAATGACTCGGTCTGACCAAATTGATTGGGATGTTTTGGAGTTTATTATGAGTAAAATGAGACTTGTGATTTACATAAAATATAAAATTGTATTAAAATGAAAGTGTCACAAATTGGACATATGATTCCGTGCCTAAAACAAATTAAGTTCATTTTGGTTCAACTTTGTACATTATGAACACATTAAAACACACAATCTCAAATACTTACAACTTCGATAAGATTGTGGTGGTGGTTTGAATGATACCCTCTGTTCTTCTTCTCACTTATTATCTCCAGCAATAGAACACTAAAACTGAAGACGTCAAATTTTACTTAAAACAATTCATAACTAGCATATTCTGGTGTCATATAACCACTGCATTATAGCATCAAAAGTCAAACATGTTAAAAAAATCATAGTATTCTAGAGAACAAAAAATAGGTTCATAGGCAATCAGACATACTATGTCCCAACCACTCTATTAGTATTTCCTTCACTTTGATCTCCAAAAATTTTAGCCATCCCAAAATCTGATATTTTTTAGTTTAGTTTATTATCAAGTAACACAATACTGACTTTGAGATCTCTGTGAACAATTCTCAATCTTGAATCTTGATGAAGGTATAGAAGCCTCCGAGCAATTCCGCAGATGATGTGAAAACGATTTGCCCAATTTAACAAATTACCCCTTGTTCTATCTGGTAAAATTTTCATTTATCAAATTAGTTACTTCTCCGACTTCAATTTTCATAACAATAACAAACAATCAGAGGCATTAAATCTATGAAAACAAGAAATGCACCAATCCAATTGAAATTGTTGGTTTTTTGAGATTCAAACCGAAAATATAGGTATCCAAGCTTTTGTTGGGCAAGTATTCATAAATCAACATTTTCTGTTCTCCTTGATCACAAAAACCAACAAGCTTTACGAGATTCCGGTGCTGAAGTTTAGCAATTAGTATTACTTCATTTTTAAACTCAGTCAATCCTTGTCCAGAACTCTTTGAGAGCCTCTTCACTGCAATTTCTCGAACATCAAATAAAGTGCCCTGAAAATTACCAATTGCCAAAAATAAAAAAGATTCTTGAATAAAGTAGTGTTTTTTAGTACCTTGGTCATTAGCATATTACAAACTTACCTTAAAAACAGGCCCAAAATCACCTTGGCCAAGCTTGATGTTTATTGAAAAGTTATCAGTAGCAATGGATATTACAGCGAAATCAAATGATGGTAAATCCAAGTCTTCATTCGGGCTTTCTTCACTCTGACCGTTTTCTGTTGTAGTATTGGAGTTAAACCACATTTAAAAAAATGGATCTCCTTTCTTAAAAGCTTAAAAATTAAGAAATATATAATAAAGGGTAAATGCTACAATTAGTCCTTAAACCTTTCCTCTTCTTTTTAAAATGTTCTCTTAACTTTAAATTGTCTTAATTAAGTCCTTCAACTATTAATTTTGGTTCAATAAAATCTTTTCGTCTAATTCAACTCTTGGAATAAATGGAGGCAAACCCATGAGTTGAGGGACAAAATTGAAATAATTTATCAACATGAAATTGATGCTTAAGGGACGAAATTGAGATAATTTAAAGTGTAGGGACCATTTTAAAAAAAGAGATAAAATTTAATAACTAATTATGATATTTACCCTATAATCCAATAATGTTCTTCCAAAAAAGATATGATTAAGAAATGTAGAGAACTTGAGGAGCTTTACTTACATGTTAATTTAGAACTAAATATTTTATAAAATCTAATAAGCAGTGACTTTAGGAGAGAATGGAAGAAGAGGGAGATTACCGAATTCTCGCAAGGATTAAGAATTCTCACATTAAAATTCAATTCTAATCAAAATAATGGAATTACATCTTTATTTATAGACCAAGTGTCCTATCAAACTAACTACTCTAATACTAAACCTCTATCAGTTTATCTCTAGTAGTGTTAATCTAATAGACACCATCTAACTAAAAATTCAAATAATAAAATAACAAATAATAACAAATAAAAATTCTAACAAATCTACTAGGTGCAAATCCAATCATGTCGATTCAACCATTCAATGGTTGCACCATCATGTAGTTTATCGGATATTAAATTTCCTATCTTAAAACATTATGGTCATATATATATATATATATATATATTATATTATTTAAAGGGCAGAGGACAAATGACCTGATAAAGTAGATTGAAATAAGAATATAAGAAAACTTTTCACATGTCACATTCTTGAAAAGTAAATTTATGGTACCATTGTTGGGATTTCATTTTTGTACCGATTTATTGTGAAATGCAAACTAATAGTTTAAGATGCAATATGCAAATACTTGATAGTTTAATGGGTAATGTAAAATTAGGGGCATAGTTCAAGGGTTCTCAGTGTAGTTTGCACACTTATTTTCCACCAATGCAAGTTTTTTACATTGCAATCATAATAGCTTTTTGCACTGCAATCATAATTGTTGCTCTGTTCAGATAAAAAAACTGTAAAATAGAGTTATTCATCTTTTCTTAGATGGTTATAAGAATAATCCACAAAATAACTCCATTACAAGTTCTGTGGGAATGAGCATCTGAGTACTTTAAGATTTTACCTTGTGTTCTTGTCCTGCCCTTCCAAATGTAATAGATGAGAATAAGTATCCCAGAAATTCCTGCAGTGGTGGCTACAATTATGACCCATTTTGTACCATCTTTTTTTTCTCCAGGATCCGCTTTCCCTTTAGCCCCATTGTTTGCCCCTTGTAGAAGCAAACAATTACATTTATGTTGGACAAAATGGGCAAATAATCTATAGAATTCAGTAAAATGCGCTTCAAGCAGCAGCTAAAGAAAAAGAAAGACACCTAAGATTGAAGCCGGCATTCTTATGTACAAAACATCTCCGCCACTGGCGAACTGTCTAATATCCATCAGATCATCAAACCAGATTGCACAACCACTGCCATTTCCTCTAATATCAGAGTTTGTGTAAGCCATGCAAGTGCAATTCTTTAAGCACTTGTCCCTGCATTCACTAAGGTTTAAACTTTTGTTCACCCAACAATTAGTAGTATCTGGCAATTTCACGCCTTCAAATTTATCAAAGCCTTCCGTACTTTGGCAGCTCAGAGGCTTATCGCGTGTGCATCCTCCATGTGACCACTCCATCAATTTCCATCTTTCCAGTGATTTTGGCTTGAATCCATTCTTACACCGGCAAACAGGTGAGCCAGCAATGTTACATATTCCGTTGGCACCACAAAGACCATAATTGTCACAATAGTCTAGTGGCGCTGAGAAATATGGCTTCCAAATCTGCTCAGATTCAATCCAAACAGAGCGCTCTAGCACAGAGGTGGTTTGGTTCAAAACAAGCCTTGTGATTACAGATTCATTATTGAACTGATATGTGTAGTACACCTCCTCCTCATTAGAGGTAAAGGTGAATGTATACAAGGGATTGGGCTTTAAGTTAGAAATACCACTTATATTGAAGGCCATTCTAGGGGCCACTTCTACTGTATATTTTTGAGCTCTTCCACATAATTATCTCATGAAGTTCTATGCCACAAGTTAGCTCTCCAGGTGAAGGGACTTCGGAATTCTTCCATGAAGATAGCCGTCTGTTCAGACCAACCCTTAAGTCCCATCCAAGGTTCATACCTGGTAACAACGTATCAGATGGGTAATCAAAGCTCTATCACAAATAAAGAGTAATATTATTTAGACATAAAAATTTAACTTAATTTGCTGATATAATGATGTGGTTTCAGCAGAACCATTGGATCAACACTAAATTTTAATATGTAATGGGCCCCACAGTCAATCCAAAGATCATAATGAATTAGGTCAGCAAATTAGGTCTCAATAACATTGCTCACAAATAAATGTCTGAATTGCTTTCTCTCTCTTCTCTAATGATAAGATTTCCAGAATCTAATAGCTGTGCCAGTGGATTCTGGACTTGTTTTCGCGAATTTGATGACCAAACAATACCATCCTTCTGACTGACAAGAACTAGATTGCCTGTATTGTTGACCGTCAATGTGCCCGATAAATCTTTGATTGGAATTTTTCTGTTGGCAACCCAAATGACAGTTGTAACTGGGATATTCTTGTACCAAATTCCCAAGTACCTGTTCTTGGAACTGCCCAGACTGAAAAAACCCAGTTCAAAGTTTCCACCTTTTGAAATTAAGGTCTTGCCATCACTAAGAGAGAGGTTTGGAGTGATTGTATCAGCTGAAACAGAGATAATCCACAACAAACAAGACGAGCAAACATAAAAAAGCATAGAGAAAAGACGGCTCATTGTTCTGTAATGTCCCATACCTTTGATATTTGGCATCAATCTAAAAGAAAAATGCTATATTATGGAGTCATTTGCAGACATGAACCTTTTTTTTTGCCTTTCTTTGGTCAATGCAGACAAGAACTAGAAAATTGGACTTCTACACATTACACAAGTCTTCCACTATGAGAGGGAACCACACAAGCAGAACTTGGACTTTTCAGCGTCAAGGCCAGATAGACCCATAAGTGAGCGAGGCAGTCGCCTAGGGCAGTCACTCGCCTAGAATCCCACTTATATGTTTTGTTAAACTTTCTAATTATCATGAAAAAGAGTTTGTTGAATAATCAATGTGATAATTCTGAATAGGATATGAAACGTACCGGAAGAGTTATTATAAATCGTTAATAGGTTTATCATTGACCTAATACGAAACAGAGAAATTTAACAGTATTTAAATTGTATTGGGTTATAGTATTTTATCCCTATAAATACGATTGAATATTATGTAATCAATTAAGAAACGATCAATTTTCTAGTGAATAATACATCGATGTAGGTTTTTGGTTTATGAGGGCAGTTATGGTGTACCATTGTGTGTATTCTATATCGAATCACGATCTATTTTTATATCATGTTTTTATTTTTTTTTCTTATCTTAAATTTCTATCTTCTAATTTACGATATAAGTGTTAATTATCCGTTGTGCAAAACTAACATGTTCTCCCTTCTTTTGTTTTTTTCACGAAGGTCTATTAATTGTGTCACTTTGATAATGTTAGAAAAAGATTATTACTTTGTTACAACAAGAAGTTTTGTTTATTTTATGATTACAAAAGTTTATTTCCTCTCTTTGATCTTAATGTATTCATTTGCATAGTATTTATTTTGCTTGCAAGTAGTTTTTCCTCTTAAAGGTATGAATCAAGAGGAAATTCAAAACAAAAAATAAATAAATAAACTTTACTTAAAAAATTAGGGCCCCATTAAATTTTTGCATTAGGCCTTAAATATTATTGACGGGACATGTTCACCGTTTTGCCTCAAAGTTACTATCCCAAATTTATTTTTGCAAGATGAAAACTCAGATTATCAGTCCCCGTGAGCCCCAACGGATTATTCGCTTGCGAGGTCTAAATTGCGGCTTGATTTTTCAGGCCTCGACTATAGGAATGTACGGTCTTGATCAACACATGTTTTCAACAAGAGGAGGAGGAGGAGCCAATCTGGGACCCAGACAGTTTTCGCATGAAAACCAAACACTGAGGTGACTAAATGGTTTGGAAATTAAGAACACGTACAAATTTGCGACCAAGACTTCAGCACCAATTCTTTAATGGTTGGCCAATGAATTTTTCAATGGATCTTTCAAGGAAGAAAATGGACAGAGACTCATGGATGATGGAAGACTTTGAGAAAATATTTTGCTGGATGAAATTAATGGCAATGAATCAATCAGTGTTGTGTTAATTCGTATCATATTTCTGTTATGTTATTTCAAAATTTATTTAACTCATAATAGACCTAGTTATAATTTTATATATTTGAATTCTTATTGCTTCGTACTTAACTCATATTCGACGAGTTTAATGGACCGTCACTAAAATCAAATTCAAATCTACTAATTCAACATTGATACTTGATATAGAACGGATAACAGCACAGTACTTAGATCGGTGGGGTCGATATTAGGGTGATTCAAGTTGGTCAAATGGGTTCACTTTTTTGGGGCACTCATAGTTTTAGAACTCTGTCCAGACATCTACTTGGTAAAAAGATTGGGTTAATGGGTTATTGATGGGTCGAACGATTATATAATACAAAAATATAAAAATATTTTTATTAATTATAAATATGCTAAAAAAATCATAATAAGAATTAAAATAGTAGAGTTAATCCACAGGAAATCAATCAAGAATTAAAATATTATCAAACATGTAACTAATGTACCAAATTGAATGCTCAAGACTCATCAACTACAACAAACACAAATGAAAAATATAGCAAAACTGATGGAACAGAAAAACAGAGATATAGGAAAGAGATAAGTGAATCTAACAAATAAGAAGGATGTGCCTTCTGAACAACAAAAAAATCGAAGTTGAAGGATGGAACAATAACAAAAAAAAGCTAAAAATATGCAAATTTTTCACTCAAATAAGTTCAATATTCACAAAATAATTAAATAAAAATTGGCAAATAGAAGCTACAATCACTTGTGTGAGAGAAAGAGAAAGAGAGAAATGAGTGAGAAAGTACCTGTCAAGTGAAGGAGAACGTATTGCCTTCGTTCGACACTTCGACTGAGAGAGAGGGGGCTGATTTGTTCGACACTTCAACTGATAGAGGCTGATTCATTCGACTGAGAGAGAGGCTGATTCGTTCAAGTTCGACTGAGAAGGAGAGGTTAACTCATTCGCCGGAGAGAGAGAGAGAGAGAGAGAGAGAGAAAGACGAGCGGGAGAAGATTACTCTGAGGGCAAAAAAACAAAGCCTTGTTTTTATAGTTTTTAATTTACCCGACCAGTTTTTTAAGAACCGTCCCATTTGGCGGTTTTCGGAAAGAAACGCCCCGTTCAATGAGTTTTTACCAGGTTTTGTGTTCAAACGATCAAATACACTATCTAGCCCGGCTTAGTGACCGGTTCACCAATTTTTTGGATCAACCCGTCTGACTGGGTCAGATTTTAAAACCCTGTCCATGTCTAGTCAGAAACAGGGCTGTCAAAATTTGACACAACACGATTAATCGACACAAATTAAATGGGTTTGGGTGAGATCTTAACGGATTTTGGTGATAAACGGGTTGACACGCCAACCACATTTAATAAATGGATCGTGTTCGAGTGAGACTTGTCAAACCGTTTATCACACGTTTATCCGTTTAAATAAAATTAATATAATAATAAATTAATAATTTTTTAAAAAAATTAGCAAGAAAAAAAAAGTAAGAAAATCAATAAAAAATAATAATAATAAAGTATGAGTTTAAAGATAAAGGAGAAGAGTTAGAAAACACTTCAAAGGTAAAGACAAAAGCAAATAAATGTCTTTTGCTTTTGTCTCACATTGAAAAATGAGGGGAGATGGAGAGGGTTGAGTTGCCTATAAAAGACAATGACCTCTTACTTTTATTTTTAAAACTTTCAAGCTTATTTTTCAAAAACAAAGGAAAGGAGTTGTAGAGCACTTGAAAGACAAAGGCAAACCAATGTCTTTTGTTTTTGTCCCATATTAGAAAATGAGGAGAGATGGGGAGGGTGAGTTGCCTATATAAAATGCAATAGCATCTTGCTTTTTTTTAAAAAACCTTCAAGTCTTATTTTTATGAGATTTGATTTAAAATTCCTCTTTTTTGAGATAAGTGCAATTAGTAGTAAAAAAATGAAATATTAAAATTTGTTGATATAATTTTTTTTAAATTAAACTAGTTAAATGAGTCGTGTCATGTTACCCGTTTATTAAACGAGTCGTGTTCGTGTTGAGATTTTTTACCCGTTTATTAAACGTGTCGTGTATGGGTTTATACGTTTTTACCTGTCACCTATTTAACCCGACGCGTAACCGTTTAACCCAACACGATTGACACCCCTAGTCAGAAACGACCGCCCCTGCCCCGAGGGATGATCTTCTGGCACTCTAGGCCGATTTTTGGACAAATTTCTTTGTTTAGAGTGTGAAAAACTTGTTTTATCATTTTTTGTAATTAAATAATTTCACCATCTGAAGTCAAAATTGATCACTGTTTCTACCTTGATCTCGGTGATTAGTAGTTTTTAGTTGTATAATTAGGTTGCAACTTTATTTTTTGGCAAAATCTGTAATAATTAAAAATAATTAAGCCACATTTTATTATTTTTTAGTTAATTTTAGGGTTTTTTGTACCATTTATACTCTTGTAAGTCTTAGAGCTTAACATCTTTTGATCATGGGCTTGCCGGAAAGATTTTAAAATTTTTACTTGTCACCCTTAAAGATTTCAAAATTCTCACTTTACATTATTAAAGATTAAATTTTTTACATTACACCTTCAATCTATCATAAGTAATGTAATGTGATTTTTTTATTAATTTCTGTTATTTTTTTTGTCAAAAGTGAATTCATTGACACTCCTGTAAAAAATTAATGGAAAATTAATAGAAATGTCATATTGTAACACTTTTGATATATTGAGGGTATAAAGTAAGAATCTTAAAATCTTGTAGAGTATAAAATTTAACTTTTCTTTTGATTATTAAATACATTTGAGAGAGATTTATTTTTTCCTTCCAATTTTTTTAGTATTCTTTAGAATCAACATCTTTATTGAAATATTTATGACTAGTATTCTTTGTGAACCAACATACCTAGAGTAGGATCTTAAACCAATATTTGTGTATAAATCACCGATTTAGTTTTATTATCCCTTCTTATATTTTAGATTTTTGTTTTTACACTTTTTTTCTTCATCAATACTTGACCAAATTTCAAGAAACTTGGTAGGAATTTTGAGCGGGTAAGTTGGTCCTAAATCATGTCCTCCTTAGGCATATATCATTAAGGTTGTCCCGTAGGTCCCTCAAATGAACGGATAAATTTAGAAATCCCAAAATAATTTTTAAAATTGCTTACAAATTTTTGAGGGTCCCAATTTTAACTAGATCAAGCAATGTAAAATATGATTTACAAATCCAAGAAGAAATGCACATGGTGCATGTGGTTTAACAACAGGTGTTCTACTTAGACTATTCAAATAAAAAAGCGGACTCGGACATCGCAGAACACAACACAAACTCGCTAATCATGTCTTACATATGCTACAAATATATAATATTATAAATGAGATTGTATGCAATAAGTATTGATATGACAAGATTAAATGACTATCCTTATATTACTTTTAATTTTTTTGAGTTTGGCCTATTTTTATGCATTGTTTCCTCACATAATACTTTTAAGGAAAAATTACACCTAAATTTTATGAAGTTTATCATTTAATCATTTAAACTCCTTAATATTTAAAATATTACATACAAATCCTCTAAATTTTATACACGCATAATATTTATACACTTGCCGTCAATGTCTGTTAGAAAATTACAATCAGACCCCTAAAAGTTTGTAGGGATGTAATATTTAGATCCCTTAAATTTAAAATATTACACTTAAACCAAAATACTCTAATCAAAGATAGAATATTAAATATTTTATGTTTTACAACCAAAATTTATATTCTATTATATCATTTATTGAAATAAAAATTCATTTTTTCTTTAAAAAATCATAATTATTATACAATTATATTATCTATTAGAATAAAACTAAAAAAAAAAAACAATGGTTCAAACTATAATGGATATAATATCTTCTATCTTTAATTGAGGTAATTTAGTCATTTAATAGATTTCATAAGTTCTGTAACTAATAAGGGGTCTAAGTGTAATATTTTAAATTTGAGTGGTCTAAGTGTTATATACTTGTAAACATTAAAGGGTCTAAATATAATTTATTAACAAATATCCTAACGGATATTGACGGCAGAGGATATAAGTGATTTGCGCGTATAAATTTTAATGAGCTTGTATATAATATTTCAAATATTAAGGGGTCAAAGTAATTAAGTGACAAACTTTAAGAGACCAGAATATAATTCCCCATACTTTTAATATATCACACTTAAAATCAATTGGGTGGTTAATTATCTCTCACCCAATATTCATAAATGCAAAAAAAAACTTGCTTGAACTTTTGGTCAGTTGAAAACGACCTCCTCCTACTTTGAACTTTTGTACTAAACTTCCCTCAATTTTTGATCAAAGGGCAAAACTAAACTTCCGTCTCAAAAGCTATAAAAATACCAAAATACCCTCATTATTCCATCCAATTTTAGTTGCGATATCCTCCCTTTAGCTCCCACTCTCTCCCTCTTTCTCTCCCTCTCCCTTTTCGTCTTTCATCTGTCACCACAATCCTCCTCCTCTTTGTCCTCTCCTTTCTCTTCATTTGTATGTAAATGAAGCAGGAAAATTAGAGATCTCAATTAGAAAGCACTGATTGTGTAGAGGATAGAGATGGGGGAAGAGAGAGGGCCTAAGTTGTGTGGCCGAAAATTCTTTCCTCTATCTCCCTCTTAACTCTCTTAGACAGAGTCTTATTTAGGGCTTTTTGAGCATTGATTTGATCTTTTCTCCCTTCACTTCATTAGCAGATTGTTCATATGTCAATATCTTGATTTTGGGTAGCTACTTTCACAATTTTTAGAAGAAAATGAGGAGATTTGTGATGAAATTGAGGAGGGTTTGGTGGTGGTGGGTGACGCTAAAAATTTTTTTCTCTTCTCTCTAGGTCAATGTGGTAATGTTAATAATTGATTTGGAGAGTACTGATACACATAAAATGGTATTGGACTGAAAGTTCCACAAATTAGATACGACTCGGTCGAACATATCGGACTCGAATAGATGACTAACTTTCAAAGACTCTGAAATAGCAAACTATTACTCATTTAACGGTGCTGATTAGTCCATTTTGCTAACGAGCCTCCAACAATGAAACAATCATCTCATTGGCTGAACAAGATTCATTCTTGCTTGATGAGGGATGAGCTTCATTCTGTACTTCTATCAAAAAACTTGGTTGCTTCAGTCGAGGCAATACGCTCTCGCTGGTCAACATTAGAACCACTGATGACATGTTCGGTCGATACTCTGGAAGTTGTTGCACACACAAGAGATCCGCTTGGATGCATCTAAATATTTCAGGTAAAATGCACGAGTCCTCCACCAATGTATCGATCAGTTCGAGTGCCCTCTCTTCTGTCCACAATCTCCATGCCTAAAACAAATTAAGCTCATTTTGGGTCAATATTGTACATTTTGAACGCATGAAAATACCATAATCACAACACTAACAAGTTCAATTAAACTGTGACAGTGGTTTGAATGATACCATATGTTCTTCTTCCCACTTATTAACTCCGAAAATAGAACACGAAACTGAAGACGTCAAATTTTACTGAAAACAACTCATAAAAAGTATATTACTATGTCCCAACCACTCTATTTGTATTTCATTCATTCTGTTCTTCAAAAATTCTAGTCATCCCAAAGTCTGATATTTTCGGATTCAACTCATTATCAAGTAATACATTACTTGTTTTGAGATCTCTGTGTATAATTCTAAGCCTTGAATCTTGATGAAGGTAGAAAAGCCCCCGAGCAATTCCACAGATGATGTAAAAATATTTTGACTAATTTAACAATTTACCTCTTGTTCTATCTGGTAAATTTTCTATTTATCAAATTAGTCTCTTACCCAACTTCAATTCTCATAACAACCATTAAACGTATGAAAGCAAGAAATACACTAATCCAATTGAAGTTGTTAGTTTTTTCAGATTCAAACCAAAAATATAGGTGTCCAAGCTTTTGTTGGACAAGTATTCATAAATCAACATTTTCTCTTCTCCTTGATTGCAACAACCAAGAAGCTTTACAGATTTCGATGCTGAAGTACTATTACTCAAATGCCAAGAGGTTGCTGGGCTATTAAACCAAAATTGAGGTGGGTCTCAATGCTATTTATCCCAAAGTTAATTATAACCTCTTCCACAATCATTTAGGTTCCAACTTTTTTTCTGTATTGTTACATGTGTTCAAGCTTACGTCGACTACTCTTTCGAACTCAACGACTAACCATCATGATTTAAGCTGAGATAAAGCATGTCTCTAAAGGAAAAAAAAAATTTAGCCCTAAGGGGTGGTATAAGAAAAGATTGAACTTGAGATATTTAGGTTACCAAAAGCCAAGTTTAACTACTGAACCACTCTTAGGAGTTAAGTACCAACTTATATGTAAGCAAATTAGCCAAAATTCCATACTCTTGCACCCGATATTGGAACTACCGATCAAATATTTTTTTTTGTCTAAAGGTACAACTTGGCCAAATCAACCTGGGTACAATTCAAAATATTTTGACTAAGATTTCGAATACCTGGATAGGATTTGGACACAAACTTTTTTACTATGTAACACGAAATCATCATCGAAGACCTCTTCCTTTGTGTATTGCTTGATGTGTGATCGCTTTCTTGTTGCATCCAATAAAAC